GTCGAGGCTGCAGTGGCTGTGAGTGTGCCATTGCACTCTATCCTGGGCAACAGTGAGACTCGAACTTAAAAACAAAAAATCTAGAAACAACAACAAATAATATACATATTTTAATAAATAAATATTTAATATATAAATATATTAAGTATATATATGTACACATACATATATATATACACATACGTATACATATATACTTTTTTTTTTGAGTTGGAGTCTCACTTCGTTGCCTAGGCTGGAGTGCAGTGGCACACTCACAGCTACCCCAGTGTCAACCTGCTGGGCTCCGGCGATCCTTCCGCCTCAGCCTTCCAAGTAGTCGGAACTACAGGCATGTCCTACCATGCCTAGCAAATTTTTTATTTATTGTAGAGATGAGGTCTTGCCAAGTTGTCCAGGCTGGTCTCGAATCTGTGGGCTGAGGCAATCCCACTTGCCTCGGCCTCCCAAAGTGCTGGGATTACAGGTTGAGCCACCGAGCCCAGCCCAAAATATATATTTTTATAAAAACCAAACGTGGCATTTTCTCACTCATATATGGGAGCTAAATGGTCACAAAGATGGAAATAATAGACCCTGGGAAGACCAATGAGGGAGGAGAGGACTTAGGGCTTAGAAGCTACCTATGGGGCACAATGTTCACTATCTGGAAAATGGGCCACCTGAGACCCAGTTTCTACCATATATAATAAGTTCATGTAATGAATATGCATGTGAGCCCCCACATCTAATATAAAATATTTTTAAAAATCTAATAGTCTAAAAAATGTATATTTCTATAAAAGGGTTATTGCAACTTGATAGGATGAAACAGACTAATCAAGTCTCTAGATATACATCTTTGCTGACTAATTGGGCAAGTTACTCATTGGGAAATGGAAACCTGCAGACATCTGTGAAGTGGGGATAAAACCTCCCTCTGTGCTGTGGGATTCAATGAAATGAAGTGCATGAAGCAGCCCACTTGTTAATGCTTAATGGTCAGTACATACAAATTTTTTTTTTTTGAGGTGGAGTCTTACGCTCACCCAGGCTGGAGCGCAGTGGCGTGTATATGGCCACCGCATCCTCCACCCGTGGGGCTCAGGCGATCTTTCTGCCTCAGCCTTCTAGGTAGCTGGAACTACAGGCGTGCGCCACCACATCTGGCTAATTTTTTGATTTATTATAGAGATGAGGTCTCGCCAAGTTACCCAGGCTGGTCTCGAACCCCTGAGCTCAGGCAATCCTCTCGCCTCAGCCTCCCAAAGTGCTGGGATTA